ATCAACTTCAACCGTTTTCTTTTAGTCCTCACACTTTAATCGCATCTCCTCGCCCTGGAAAACAGTACTTGCTCATCATGGCTTCTTTATTTTATTTTTTGGGAAACACTTGTTCGATAACTTGAGCAAATTATACTCATTGGCTCTTATTTTTCTGTGACAGTGAAGAGAATTTGAGAGCAGCTCTCAATAAAATGGGAGTTACTGGCCGTGCAGTTGGAGATGTCATGGACAAAGTGCGAAACAGACATTATCAGGTGAAAATTTTACTAGATGCATAAAAAATTGTTCCAGGCTCATCTTTTTTTGTTCTAACACGAAGTTAATACATATGGACTACTTGGTAATGTATGCATCAGCTGGCATGCACCTTGACGTTTGAAGCTGTTCATGGGTCATCATGCGATGCTGGGATTAACCATCCAAATCAATACTTTTCTGACAGCCAAAAGATTATGCAGTCCAAGGTAAATTATGTTTTTATTGTACTATCAAAGACCAAAAAAAATAAAAGAATAAATTTTTTCACTGAAAACTCAGCGAAATTCGGTTTTTCGGCAGTGTGCCTAATTGATGCATATAAGCATGCAGTAAAAAAGATGCTGAAGTTACGTTTTGAAAGCTTGCCTAAGGTTCCCAAAACCTTGATCTGTTTGTTTGAGGCCTTAAAAAGGCTGAAGTTGTACTATGCGCTGATCCAAATTATTCTCTTGCAGAACCAGTCTGCAGCTTGAGGAGAGCTTTTGGGCATTGTCATTCCAGACAGAGGTACCTCGCTCTAAATAGTCTACTTAAGTTAGTGCTGTTTGTGCAAGTGAAGGACACACCCAACCCAAATGCAAATAACAGAGCATCGAGCCAAAGTGGACCCAAAATTTTGATTGTTCTATCCATATCTTTCCACTCAAGTAAAGCCTTTAAAGTCGCTCTTCTGCCCTAAAGTAGGCCATGCATTATGGTTTTTCTACACATAGAAATGGCAGAGCTGGTGGCCCCACCTTTCCTTTCCCGGCATAAAGGCTGGGTTTTGCTTTACACTGAAAAATATGTAATTTAGTATTATTTAGAATCGCATCTTCATGTGAAAATTCGGACCTCTGGATAAGAATAGTGCATGGTGTGGCATATTCTCTGTTTTCGTTCGTCTGATTTTGGGTGCTCAATGAGGAAATAGCATCACCTGGATCAGATTGAACGTAATCTTGTTGACGAGAAAGGGGTTGGTTCTATTCTAGCAAGTGTTGCAAACATGGCTCCAGCACAAATTTGGTGTATAGGTTTGATTGATCAGACTGACTAATCACGAAGCACATGATAAAATATTATGTTAAATGTTCCTTTTGAGGATATAGGGTGAAATGCTATCTATGTTTTATGAAAGATTTTCGTTTATAATTTGAATAATGCTCTCGTAATTTCCAATTCGAATTATGTAATATTCTACGTCAATTTTTGTGTGTAATATTTGATGTACAAACAATAGTATAGTTCTTAGATATGACAGTGCATTTGAGTGAACAAAGTATATTGTCAATGGCTTTCATTACTTCTTATTCGTTTGCCAAGAGCAAATCTTTTATTTTTTTTAAATACAATTGATGGTTTAAATTATAAGGGGATGTATTATCATGCATCTAAAGTCCATTGACCCACCTTCAAATTGGGTAGGAGATATGAGGCCTAAAGGCTAAAAAGGCGCTCATTATTCAGCTCGACCTCTTTCCTATTAAGATTTGCCACCTTACCTTAAGAGAATAGGTCCTGTTTGTCGAGAATTATCGTTAAATCTAAAGGCAAGGTACTTCCCGCTAGGAGACGTAGAGTGAAGGGTTTCTCACATACTACTAAGGTGTCATAGGGGTTTGAACTTGAGACAATTAGTCTGTAAATCAATACCTCTTTTCATTGGATTAGACTATGTTTACATGAATTTTTTTATTTCGTTAAACATCAATCACCACTTTATTCAAGTTATACTATATAAATGTATATATTACATTAAATTATCAACAAACTTTTAATTTAGTGGTATTTCATTTCCTATGTTAGAATAAGTCTCAAATTCGAATTTCCTACTCCCATTAATAAGAAAAAGAATAAGAAAAAGAAGGGAACCTAAACCGAAGGTGAGACTCTAACATTGCTTTTTCTTCTTTTTGGTGAGGAAGACTATAATATTGTTGGTAAAGTATCCTTAAGAAAACATATGAACATCATAATGGGCAACATGTGAACGTTGAGAAAAATAAACCTTGCGGAGTAGCGGGGGGGACCATCACCTTTTAGAGGGGAAGAAGGAGTCTCTCTCTTTAGAGAGTTGGGGTTTGCACAAGCGTGCAAAGATCTGTTTTCTATTTTACTTGTTTTAATTTGAACAAAAGGGCTTTGCCTTCCAAACCCCAAGGTTTTCAGGTCGTCAAATTTGAGCAGAGCTCCTCCTACCCTGCAAGTTTACAAGTGAGAATAATAGAAGAAGAAGAAAGAAGTACCCTTCTTTTTATGACCTAGTGGGAGTGCACAGTGGCTTTGCTTTGCTTGCTATTCGCCACCATTATTGTGTTTCCATTTCCGTATGCAAATTCATATTTTAAACTTTGAGTCATAATATGGTTCCTCTCTTTAGCTCACGTAAACTATCATTACAATTTAGTGCTCAAACTTAAACAAAACATAAAAATGATATATATATATATATATATTCATATTTCTTAATTGCATGAATTTTTTTTTTTATAACCAAAGTTAGGAACGAGGGGAAAGCTCACACACCGGTATTATAAAGGTTTGAATCCAAAACAACTTAAAGCGCCAAAAAGACCAACTAACACCCCATTGGAAATTACATGAACTTGATCCATTTCCTCTTCTAACCCGATGGCCGATCCTTCACAATACTGGTTTCAACTTTTGTGCACATGCCATTATCCTCCTCCTTCTGTGCTCCTGCTTTTCTGGTTTTGATTTTGGTTAGTGGATATGGGTCAAAACTCCAAGTCAAATAGAGCTCAGAACCCAAGAGGGAGCATCATGGAACGTGAGCTATGGAACACAAGATTAATTCATTTTTTTAAAGTCCCTCTGACCTTTCCACTATTTTCCACTTTTGGTACTTCACTTTCTCTCACTTGCAAAGTTGAAAGCAACTACACTCTGTCCCTTTCCCTTCCACACGTTTTTTTGCATTTATTTATTTTTTTAAGTTTTCACTCTTTATTAATCTTTGTGCAGTTTATTTATTTTATTGTCAACCTTGTTAAAAAATGGCTGCACCTGCAAGCCTAAAATGGTAATGGGTAGACTTACCAAAAGATGAGCCTTCGAGTTATTGCGGTCTCTTTCTTTCCCTTTATAACTCTCTCTCTTTTCCTCTCTGGAGTTATCCATACAACAAGCTGCTCTCTCTGTTTCCTGCTCTGTCCTGCTTGCTAGGTACTAGTAGGCATCTCTCTTTTCATTAACTTTTACTCCAATTTTCTGTCAGACAACTGATGCCTCAAAACTCCAAACCAGGCTTCCTATTATTTGTTTACCTTTTGCAGAATGTCCACAAGTTTTTCCACATCGATTTATTTTTTCAGTTTTCATGCTTAAATACACTTACAGTTGTTTTTTTCCCTGTTTTTACTTCCTCTTTTCAGGGTTTCTCTATAATTTGGACGGCGGGGATCAAACTAAAACAAGTTTTGTGCTTCACTTTTGCCTGATTTCCGGGCATCCCTCAGAGGCTGAGGTACCCATCATTCTATCTTTTATTGTTCTCCTTTTCCTCATCATGTTCTTGTTGTGATTTTAGGGAATTGTACTTGAAAAATTATTTCCTTTCAAAAAATGGTTTAAAACAGTAAAAACTGTAGTCTACATGTGGTTCTCATTAGTCAATATTGGTGGGCTAGCTACTAGATTTGCTTTTAATGCCTTCAAGGTGATCCAGAGAGAGTTTAGGGAAGAAAAATTTTAAGGAACACTTTTGAAGAAATAATTAAAGGATTCAAGACTGTTTGTGATCCAGATGATAGTGCTAGCTAGCTCATGTGGCATGCTGACACTTATATAATTAGCTTTTGAATAAGCAAAAAAGTTGTTTTTCAAAATGCATCTCCAGGCTGATAGTTTCTTACAAAATTATGTGTAACTTGGAGGAAATATTTTTCATCCGATTGGAAATTTCAAAGTGTTGGGAAAATGAAAATTAAATAAGGATACTACTCGCCTTCTTACCGGTAAGGAGATACTCCAAATCACAGTTTAACACATATGCAAAAATAATTCATCAAAAACACAAAAGGAAAAAATTTTGCACACGTCACATTGCTATTGGCAGGAATGTAGGAGCTCCTACTTACGTAAGGAGGGAAGTATTTTCCATTAAGTGGATAACAACTTCTCATTTAAAGTTCTCTCTCTTGATTGGAAATTTCAAAGTGTTGGGAAAATGAAAATTAAATAAGGATACTACTCGCCTTCTTACCGGTAAGGAGATACTCTAAATCACAGTTTAACACATATGCAAAAATAATTCATCAAAAATACAAAAGGAAAAAATTTTGCACCCGTCACATTGCTATTGGCAGGAATGTAGCAATGTAGCAATGTAGGAGCTCCTACTTACGTAAGGAGGGAAGTATTTTCCATTAAGTGGATAACAACTTCTCATTTAAAGTTCTCTCTCTCTCTCTCTTCCCAGTCGGTAGGCAGAATTTATGTTGAACAAAGGAAGACAGGGAACCCAATGCTCTATGCAGCAGTACTTTCGGATTTTGGTGATGCGTAAAAGAACAAATGTATTTTAGGGGAAAAGAAAGTGTTCATTCCAAAGAGTCTTTTTCTTTTTGCTATTACTGATGACATTTTGGAAACTGGTTGCCCTGGAGAGAAGGCATATTAAAGATTGTTCCAATTTCATGCTTCTTCTGGCTTAGGACTGCATACATAAAATTAGAGGATATCTCTTGATAAAGTTTGAAACTTGTGAACTTGGGCAATATGGAGAAAGGATCAAAGGGCAAGTTGAAGGATCCAGGGGTCTCTATAATGAAGTCATCTTCGAGTGCTGCATCTTTGAAAAGACCACGAAGAACCAATAATGGAGCCCAAATTGCTTCATGCTTGGTTGATGGGTGCAATTCAGACCTTAGCGAATGCAGGGATTATCATCGACGCCATAAAGTATGTGAGCTCCATTCAAAGACCTCAAAAGTTACAATCAAGGGCCAGGAACAGCGGTTCTGCCAGCAATGCAGCAGGTAAGGGGGGAAGAAATAATCTTATGTTAACTACTGTGACGAAAATGTATATCTGATCACAACGAAAACTTGCGCAAGCTATAAGGTCAAGTTGTTGAAATTAGAACTAAAGGACCAGAAGTATAATTCAACTTATTTATATTCATAAGTTTCTCTGCCTAATAAAATGTATTTTTTGGTTTTGTGCCATGTATAATCCCACTGTCGTGCATTCAAAAAATAGAGCATCTTGAACTAGCATATGAGAGTTGGACACATTCTCTTACAAGCATGCATTCTGTTACAAACTAGTCTTACATGGAATTGGTGACCTCAAAACCCGATTTGATGTCTTAGTTTTTATGTATAGGCATGATGCTCAGTCATTGAAAAACGATGGCTACCACATGGCAAGTTTTACTTGTGGATTAATTAAGACTCTTCTTTCCACATATCCTGGTTGCCTTCTTTATATGTATATATATTGACATTCTTCATCACATTACCAAGGTTCCATTCATTGGAGGAGTTTGATGAAGGAAAAAGAAGCTGCAGAAGACGTCTTGCTGGACACAACAAACGCCGAAGGAAGCCTCAATTAGAACCCATGTCCACAAATTTGGGAAGATTCCTTTCCAGTTACCAAGGTTTGGATTTTTAATTGGGGAGGTTGTGTTCATGGACAGTATTTTTCACATTTTCCATAGTCGTGATGAGATATCTACAATTGTTTTCATTAGCATAACTTGAAGTACAATGTGTTCATATACAGACACAAGATTCTTACAATTTGGTAGTCCGCAAGTGTGTCCAACAAATGCTGTAATGAACTCTGCATGGGGTGGGGCAATGAAAGCAGAGAATGATGATGTGCTTCTTCATAGCCACTCGCAGTTAAGTGAGACGAGAAGAAACTTATTTCCAGGATCTTTGGCGTGTCAACAGAGCATTGAGTCCATGCTCTCTCAAGCTTCTGCCTGCCAACAACTTGTTGGTACCGACTTTGCATTGGGAAATTCAGGCAACAGCCACAAGATGTTCGCCAAAGGATTATACCGCGACGTTGAATCCAATCGTGCTCTCTCTCTTCTGTCATCGACACCAGCATCCCGGGGGGAGATTGGTTTGAGCCACACAGGGCAGTCCAGTTCAATCTGGCCAGCTCAGCCCCTGATCCCTAGACTGCGCTACAATGTTTTGGGAATGGTGGACGAGGCTGCCATTTCCAATTCGGTTGCTGATGGCAGCAGCAATGCCAATAATATGCATTTCCAGGGCATGTTTCAGATTATATCTGATGGCTCAACTGCTGGTGCCCCTCACTAGAAACCCTATACAGCTGGTGGGGGTAATTTAATCTGCAAAGATCTAGGGATTAAGCATTTGACTGCCCATGTAAAATTGAGAGAGATCAAAATGTCTCTAGTTTGTATTTTTCTCGTACCCCTGGAGAGAAATAATCATGCTGCTATATAAAAGTATTGTCTATTTCCACGATGTAACCATTTTATAAGTTCACTCTGAGAGTCTGAATCATATTTGTCTGAGCTGATGAGACTTTTTCTATTTCAACACAATACATGAAATGATTTACCAAATAGCATCATATGCAATTTTCTTTGAGTTTTGTGAAACTAAATAAGCAAAACAAAAAATTTGTTTATTGGTTTTTTTGGTCAAGGTTTGGAAGGGAGAGAGGAATTTACTTGCACGCATTGGTGCTTAGGGGTTTCAAATTTGAGACCACTAATCTTAAGCCAACCATACTTCTTCACCATGGTATGACCCTAAACATGCTTTGAGTTCTCAGTTTTTTATTTTTTGGTGTGGACATGCCTCATATTTGATCCCAGTGGTTGAAGGGCCTGCATGGGGCTCTAGCCTCTAGTGGAGCCCAAGTTTCCTTTTTCAAAGTTTATTCAGTTAGCCCAGTTGATTCTAAACTCCAGCCCAATTTGAAATCTTACCTTCTCCTCTGTTTTTTTTATCATTTTGGGTCTGAAGCTTCTCCTCTGTTTGAGCCTCTCATTTATTGTGAGGGTTAACTACCTATTTTATTAACCTCATATTCTCCTTTGTTTTCATTTTCTTAGTCCATTTTTTTATAATAAAAAAAAAATTAATGGAAATGAGAGTTCGAACTTAGGACCTTTGGAAAGGGAAGTCCCAGTAGACTAAGAGTTAGATAGTAATTATGAAAACAAAATGCACTTAATTAAACCAACTAATAGAAATTTCTTAAAAGTGTGTTTTAACCTTTGGGGCCGTTTGATAACCATTTCAATTTTATTTTTAATTTTTTGTGCTAGAGCCTAGAGTATGGAGGAAAATGAGAGTGAGAATAAAGTGAGGATGAGATTGAGAGAGAGATGATGAGAGAGGAGGATGGGAGGGAGGAGAAACAAAAGTGAAACGTAAAAACTTGAAAGTGAAAACAATTTCAAATAGATTTCAGTTTTTAGTTTTAGTTTCACTTTTGTTACTCCTCCCTCCCATCCTCCCTCTCAATCTCATCTCTATTCTCATTCTCACTTCCATTCTCCCTATTTTTCCTCTATACTCTAGCGCAAAAAATTAAAAACTAAAAACTAAAAAATAAAAACTAAAATTGAAATGATTATCTAATGGGCATTTTGATTATCTGTGTAAGAACATAACACGTTTTGCTTTCCCAAATAATTGACATAATTTAATGGGGGGATATTTGGGTCGCTGTTGGCTTACTGCTCTGCTTTGTCCATTTGTAGTGGTTGAAGATGACCTAAAGTAGACAAAAAGCAAACCAAATTAAGTTACTTTCCTTATCATAAGTGAAGACCTCCAGTTCGTTAACCCTAAACTGCAATGGCCCCTCCTCTGCAGAGGCCCATTACCGCACATGCTCCCCACACACAACATTGCTTTCTTCACAATTATTATAATATAATTATGATGGAGGTATCAAATTAACCTAATTGTGGTTCTAAATTAATCTCCAAATTAACAACCACATGAATCATGATGAGACGATCAAACATGATGTTTATTTTTTGGATTTATAATTATAAGTAGGTTAGTTCATATGTTAATTTACAGCTTTGTTTGGGCAGCATGCACTTCTAAAATAGATACTAGCTAGTCTTGCTGCCTTCTCTAGTAGCCACAGTTTTGTCTTGCTTATGAACCATCAAATTTGTGGAGGAAAAAGGGAAAGTCTTTTTGGAAATTAGGGTTTTTGATGTTGAAAAATCACTAATTTTCCAAGATTGGTTAATCACACACGAGTTGCCTCAAAGCAAAAGTGAGAGTTTGGGTTTCATATATGTATCTTTGTGTTGTGTTTTTTTTTTATAGATAAGATTAGGGTTGCAAGCCATGTGCATACATTATAAGTTGTTAGTGTCTCCACTACATTGAGTAGTTTTTGAGATGGTTATGCCTTTTAAGATCAAGCTACTAGGTTAATTAAGAAAATGATTATGCCTAATTAACCCATCTTCGAGTACAATAGCTCGTGTCCTTAGCCAATTACCTAACATGGATTTGACTAATCACACACAAGACAAGTTATTGTTATTGGAATGTCTTGTTAGGCTTAGTTTGAATATTGGATTGCCAATAAATTCTCCAAATTTAACACGCTCATTTTTATAGTCAGCCATATGTTATAGTTAGTCGAGCACATTAGTTTGTCAATTCTGACCAACTTATGAGTGGGCGACTGGTTCTAACACGCTCATTTTTCTTCTTTTTCTTTTTGATGTGATGATATGATAAAATTCTTAAACAGATGCAAAAGCCAAGCATATAGTTCGTTCTTTATTTCTTCCTTGTTGCTTTTACCAAAGCTTGTTGATCACAAGAGCAAAGAAAGACTCAAAGATAAAGAGACTTTGAATTATTAATGGGTGCACTGAGAGACAAAAAAAAGAATAGTGACGTCTTTGAAAGGAGAGTAAAAGAGAAACGGGCCAGCATAGAAACTGGATCAGTGTTTTTGAAAATGAAGAGGAACCCACTTGAGACGTGACTTCCTTAAAGACATGTGCCCAAATGGGAAAGAGGTCCACGTATCATTCTGGTTGACGTTGATGGTGTTCGCCCTAAAATGGAAATAAATCTGACAGGTGAGGGCCCACTCTCTGTTCAACCGTGGCCATTGGATTTCCTCCTCCTCCTTTTTATCAAATGTGCTTGCTGGTCCCCACCCTCCACCGCATTCAGAGCTTCATAAAACCCTAGATTGTGAATTATAATTGAAAGTGACAAGATTTACAATCTTACACACATACAATACAAGCTAAGCTGGCTGTGACATCAAATTCCTTTATCTGACAATTTTTCTGTGCTTTGCTCCCTCATTTTCAAGAGTGTGGATAAGAGCATAGTGTTAAAGCCGATTAGAATATAAAACGAGTTAGTGTTAAGTATTCTGCGACTATAATTGAACAGTTCGAATTAAGGCTGGAAACGACGTGTTTAGATTATTAGGCATGAGCCTGAAAGCCCTAGTGCAAGCAAAACACAAAACTGTGAGTATAATTCATGATTTTCACCAAAGAAGCAAAGCATACACGAGGAGTAACATCGGAAAGCATACTTTTCGACCATCACCATATTCTTAAAAACCCTTTTTTCATGATTTCATCAAACCAAGCCCATTACAAATGTACCGCATCACAAACTGGAGAGCAACCAATTTGGTTATATATAAAAAATTATCCAATGAGGGTTATGAACTGGAAATTATTCCAAAATTGACAACACAAAGAGCCCCCCGTGGGCTGCTGATGAACAACTGCTAGCAGCTACAGATCTTGATTTCTGTTTTCTTTTTCTCACGTACAAGTTTGACAGGTTGACAAAAGCCATCTGCGTTTTTTTTTTTTTTGGGCCGAAGAAAAAGAAAAGAAACAGAAAAGCTATAGCTAGCTCGGTAGGCATCTGTTTTTAGTGGTCCACTAGGATTGATGATGGGAGAGGTGAATATGAAGGCACGATGGTGGTGGTGGTGGTCGGTGGTCACAATCAAATAGTTGTGATCCAATTTAAATGCCTCTGTCACTTTGTGTTCCATTTTTTATCCTCAGCTGCGTTTCCATGTTTTATAACTGGAGACGGTAATTTAAATATGCTGTAAAAGAGTAGAATTCTTAGATTTTTTTTAACACTTTCCATCATGGTGTATGGAGATAGAGGACATAGGTGATAGCCAGAAACCCGGTTGATTGGCTAAATTCAAAACTTTACCCTACCTTCCAAGTCCTGTAGCATTGGACCACTCCACAGTGTTTAAAACGAATCGTTTAGAATTTGGGGTAGTTCAGTTGGTCTTCATTTTGTCTCAACTCACTGCTTGATATATTATCGGCCCCCACCACACCAATGTTTCTGAGTTGGATTCTAGCTACTTATCTTCTTTTATATCTTTGCCTCAAATGCATCAAAATTTAAACCCTAATTCAATCACATCATAGCTGTTTTATATGAAGCATAAGAAATGTTCATGCTAAAAATCTAACTCAAATATGAGCTAAAAATTGATTTTGTATGCATTGTACCACCCCTGTCTCCACCTTCATATTATAACAAGTGTACAAATTATACTACGTGGCCATACTCCAGTATGATTCTATAATTTTTCGTTCTCGTATGCTAGGCATATGTCCAATTAATGCTACCTTGTTTAATTAATCTTTCTCAATTTCATCACCTAGAATAACAAAAAATTCCTGAGTTGAGATATGTTTAATCTTAGAACTGGCCGACTCCACATCCACTTCAGGTTTGATGTATATATTCTTTTATTTCAAGTAAGATTTCAGATTATTAAGATATCTATTTTAGATTAAGACATATATCAATTTAAATGTCACATGCGGTGGCGGAGCCTCTCCTAGGTTAAGAGTGGTCCGGGGCCCCCTATTTTTTTGACCTCTCTCCTATATTATACACTACAAAAAAAAAAAACAAAACAAAACAAAAAAAGTGGCAACAGTCACCATTATTTGGTAACTGTTGCCACTTGTTTTTTGTAGTGATATAATGTAATATATACAACTTACTAATAGACAACTTGTAATTTAAATAAATGACCCCTTTAAAAATAATATATATTTGTGTTTTCTATTTCGGTTCCCAATCTTATAATTCTAGCTCCGGCCCTGATCATATGCTTGTTTGATGTGACTTCTTGGAGTTCACTTTAGAGTAGATGTGTATTGCAAATATATGTAAAGATATAAAGTAGACTAAATTTCACATATTTACAAGTCGACTTTTTCAGTTCATGCATGATGGCCATGTTCACGAAAAGGGTACAGTTATCTAATGGAGTTTGACCTGAAAAAAGTGGAAGCACAAAGACGCTTTGTGCTCCAACCTTAAAATTTGTAAGATAAGAACAAACTTAGTTTCATATTGTTTACTTCTTCTTTTTTTCTTTTTTTTTTACTTTTTTGCTGTCTGACCAAACACGAATTTTCCTTTTTGGTTTTTAATCTTAGTTTCTAATATTGGTTTGTTCTCATAGGAGAAATTCACAACTCAATTAGCCAAGACAAGGTTCAAACCCTAGCCCCCCAATAGGTTACACATCTCAA